TGACATGCAGTTCAAAGCTAAGCTATACAGAATTATATTTGAATTCTGAAAGTATAGAAACAGCATTACCCAATATAAATTAAAAATATGTTCAACATGGTATGTTTAATACGTGTATTAGGTTGACATTAGGTAGCACATGTTCTTTCTCATTATGAGGCTGTTCTGTTGGGATGCATAATAAACACGCCTCAACAGGAATGAATGCGATTTTTCACACGTTCCCAAAAGAAGAAACGGACAAGACACCCACACAGCAGGGATCTGGAAGGAGCAAAGACAGGGGAGTGCGACTTCTTTACGATATACAACTTTGGACCATTCATGTTTAAGACATACAGTCATCGTTTATGTTGTAGCTTTAATAACGGCACAGATTTTTCACATTTTTTTTTTATCCCCTTACCACTCAATCTAGAAATAAATGTCCCTCAGCAGGGTGCCTTGTGCTGACGTTTCTAACTTTATAAACGTCACCCCATGTCCCATTCCAGAGCCAGCAGCTGCTGTCTCTCAATCCTGACAGCTTGAGTCCCCACTATGACACAGTGATTGCATGCAGGCTTGAGGCTTAATTAAAAAAAAGAATAGACGCCAGATAAACAAAATCACAAATTTGGATCAAGCAAAGTAATTCTTTAAATTTTGCCCAGGCACTTTACAGTCATCATGTTTCCAGATGGCTCAAACTCTCTCAGATCCACTTATGTGAACTTCCTGTCTAGTACAAGATCAGAATGGACAGAACAGTCTCCAGCAGCCATCCATCTACTAGCATGGAGAAGGGAGGAAGGCGGAGTGGGAAGCATGAAGGAGGGCTGTGGCTGACCCTGCTGTGCCTGTTTGTTTGGGGAGACGCACACAGCTTACTAGCATACACAAGGGTGGCTTCATAGGGCCCTGAAAGGGAAAAGAGCCATCATACAACAGGATATCAGGGCCAGTGCTCAGGGGACCAGCAGATTCTGCAGGAAACTAAAATGTTTAAACATCAAGAAGCAGCATCAATGGTAACTGATTTAGTCACCATCTGAAATTACTTTAATATTACTTTAACGCTAATCTACAGGATATCAAGATAATCTGAGCCCATCTCATATTACACGCAAAACCATTTGACTACAATGGTCAACACTTGTTTTGTTTATTCTTAATAAAACTAAATCAAATTGTGTCTTGATCACCCCCATAAGCCTTCGAGAGTCCACAGTTGAAGGGAAAATGGTACTCATAAAAAGCTGCCTTATCTTGTAGTGAATATAACATGAACACAGCAGGTAAATATAAGCATACAGAAGTCAGTCATCACTGGACTCAATAGCTTTATACACAACCCTCTGTAGGTAAACCCTAGACTGAAGTCCTAAATCCTAAAATATGTAAGTCCTATCTATGGTTTTATTTGTGCCTTTGAATAAGCTGCTGTGCAGGAATTAATATATTTTTGTGTTTTTCTTTTTTTGCAGAAAATACAGGAAAGCTCTCCGAGAGAGCTGGAGGAAGCTAAAAAGACTCTTCGAGGACATGAGCTCCAGTTCAGAGCCTCCGAGTGAGAATGAGAGGCATTCGAGCATACAGTCTCATCAATGTTTGCCAGGACATAACATGACAAATTCTATTCAAACATGAACAGGGAAGGGAATGCCTCATGATACGCTGATTGCCAGATGACAGGTAACGAGCACTACACTTCCATGTACAGCATTACTCAACATCATATCAAAGTTCAAACCTATAACTTCAATGAAAATATAAATAGATTTATCCTTCAGTTCTCAGTAGGGTATTATTGGGCAATATACATAGTATATAAACTTTACAATTACTCTGCCAATATACTATTTGGAAGACTACCAGGCCTAGAATAGATAGATAGATAGATATCACTACAACATTATATACACTTAACCCTCAAAATAAAACCAAACTATTTGTTTTGAGTTCCCATTATAAAAGTTTGCCATGTCCCTGTATATCTAAGTAGAGACTTGCATATTGACTTCAATAAGCAAGTCTCTACTTGGATATACAAATACACAGCAAATATGAAAAATAAATATTTTTTAAAAAAATTAAATATATTTTTTTTTTAAACTTGATCACGTACAATCTCGGTTTTTAACTATGCACTACTATATCTTGACGTCCAGGACGGCACAACTTTGTTCTATCATACATAAATTAGAAGTTTGTTAGGAACCAAGCAAAAACTAGAATGTTAAGTCACGCATGTATTTTGTTATATTGAAATGCAACTGAAGCCAAATCTTGCAAAACATCTACAAGGGTTATAAACTTCCTTATTCTATTCAAAACATAAAAACAAAAATTGGTTTCAGTTCTACACTTTAAGCTCAGACCTAAGGTCATACTTAAGGGACTTTTCTACAGCAATGTGTGAATTATACAAGGAGCTTTCATGACAAATGTCATCTGACTGTGCAGCTGCACGGAGATGGTGCTGAAAAAGAATTTGCCACGCATTATACTGTAGGAAACGCTCAGAATAAATACTAAAAAGAGTTGTTGAAACCTGCTTATTGAATACAAACCATGACATGCATTCAAGAGTCCTAATGCAGAGAGAAAAGACTGCACTCCCACAGCCACCGATCAAGTGCCTGTGCTGAATGTTAACATTTAGTTATTTTCTCAGCGAGCGCAACTGTCAATTGATGTTGTACTTGAGAAAGAGGAGACCGCAGCTATTGAGCTCACAGGGAGGCTTCAAAGCTACAGACAGAATGCTGCAAGCACTGCTCAATGTCCTTTAATGTGCACTGATGGCTCTCCAAGAGCCCCCTAAGATCATAACAATACAGAACAATAACTGTTTACAATTCTTGACACTTAGGCCCCATTCACACCAGGGCGGAAGCGTTTTAGCGCAATTTTTGAAAGGGTGTTTTTAATCGCGTATCAGCGCTGAAGCGTTTCCATTGCAATCTATAATCTAATAGCTCAGGGAGCATTTTGGGCAGCAGGCAGTTCAGGTCGCGCGGAGCATGAACGGTCTCAATAGGAATGTAAAGGTGCCCATACACTGCACAATTATCGTACGATAATCGTATGCGATCGGTTTTTCGTACGATAATCGAGCAGTGTGAACGGAGACGTGCGACCGTTTCTACTGTACGGTCGCACGTCTTCTGTGGAACCAGCATGTTCAAAAACCAGCCGGGAATCGTACGATTCTCGGCTGGTTAGAACGGTGCTCGGAAAACAAATGCCGAACGGGCCGGTGTGCGCACGCGCACACTGCCCGTTCAGCATTGCGGTCAACGGAAGCCCGCCCCTCAGGGGGGCGGGCTTGCGATGATCGAGAGTGCGATCTGCCTGTCCAAGATAGGCAGATCGTACGTTTTTTTAATCCCTGTACAACCATCGCAAGACTAAAGTCTTGCGATGGTTGTAGAGTGTATGGCCACCTTTAGGGATCATTCATGTCAGCGGTTCAGCACGGACAAATCAGTACGACCGAACCGCCCTGGTGTGAACGTGGCCTGAACCCAATTAAGGGGCTCATTTTTTACCAGGTTTCTTTACTATGTGTAAAAATGTGTGATTTGCAAAGTTTTTAAAGGAAAAAAAATGGTGGATAATATAAGCTTTAAAATAAAAAACAAAAAACTTGATAAATGCAGAAAAAAAATAAAAAGCAAATATTCAGTGACAGGCCATACAAAAGTTTTAATAAACTGGTATATCCTCAAAGGATCATTTTCTCTTCTGTCAAAATAAGGTAAAATTGAGAGTAAAAAAACTGCCCTGAAAAACGTTCACAAACTATGAAAATTATTAAAAGCATATTATTATTATACAGGATTTATATAGCGCCAACAGTTTGCGCAGCGCTTTACAATAGACATGACAATCACAATATAACTCAAGACAAGATGGTAAGGAGGGCCCTGCTCATGAGGGCTTACAATCTAAAAGGGAGGGGGAAGTGATACATGAGGAGGTAGCTGTGTGGGGAGAACTTTTATGAAAACACACCACTTTCCTAATTTGAGCATTGCAATCTGCTGTGCAGCACAAACACTGGTATGTGTATGGCTACATGATATAATTATTCTGTATACAGCTTTAAGGACTCACAACAAATCTTATTTTGTTATATATGAACATTTCTTTTTATTCGGTGCAGATTCTAGTCTTGTGAAGAAAGAAGATGGAATCTGACCTTTATTGCCCTCAAAAAACTACTGATGCCAACGAATGGTGCAGCTGTGACAATAGAAAAGGACGGTTTGGAACGGACTTGAAAGTGGCAGCAAAAAACTGAACTGCTTTCATATATAAGTAACGACAACAAGATGGGAGGCTCAACCTTACTGGACTCAAGACTTAACTTTAAGAATGCAGATTATTTTTAAAGTGTTTGTCAGTAAATATATTTATTATCTCTGATGAAAACATGTATTTGTAGTGCTACTGGTCTGAAAGATTTAATATTAAGGTTCTTTGGCCAGTCATACTATAATATAAAACTGATGAAAACTAATTATTGTACATTACCATCATAAGGATACATCACTGAAGCTGCTGGGTCATTTATTTTCTCACTTATATAAGCTCCCCATCACGCCAGACTCTGTGCTGCATTGCGCAGCAGCTGGTGTGTGGTACAGGGCTGATACTCCGATCCGGGCACACAGCATTGTTTACTTTTTTTTTTTTATTATAGAACTTTATTGAAATGTCACAAGTGACATTTCATTACATTCTATTGGCACAGCGTGGTGCGAGGAGGTTGAATCTCGTCATAGCCCCCTGTGCTGAAGAAATTACTGCATGCCATACTTTTTTCAGTGCACACCATCATGTTCCACCGCACTGTGGCGGTATGAACTGTACCCATCTGTGACAAAGCAAATTGCCTTGCCTGCTGTGTTTTTGTTCATCTGAGGTTTTATTTACCTAATTTTAAGACCTCCTGATACTTAAAACCAAAAAGGGTGTACTTTCTTTTGCACATGTCTATGCATATATAGGGAAATATTGCTACTAGAACTAGATAAGACACCTTTTCTACATTGATTAGACGAAGGATGAACAAATTTCTGGAGCTAGGTAGCCAATGCACCTTAAAGAAGAACTCCAAGATTTGTTAAAAATTTAAATTAACCCTTGCAGTGGGGCTACCCCCCGTATAAAGTGCTTGTTTGTGTCTAGGTGCTAAAATAACAAAGATATACTCACCCAAAGCTCCAAGTTGGTCAGCTGTCATGGCGCTCCCTGCAGCATTCTACTCTGTCTCAGTGTCCTCATATCTATACACAGTGGATAGTTGTTGATGATTTACAGGACCTCAGACCCCTGCAGAGGATGGGGAGAAACGTTGGAAGGACCGGTCTAAGAAGAAGCTGACTTGGAGCATCAGGTGAATCTAACTTTGTTTTTTGGAACCTAGACACATACGAGCAGTTAACCCTTGCAGTGTGGGGGAAGCCCCACTGCAAGGGTGCATGAAAAACAAATCCTGGAGTTCCTCTTTAAAAAAAAAAGCTGGCTCCTAACTTATGAGGTTTTCTCTAGTTCTTGTCAATGGAACTGGCTCCTGGTTTAGACAGACTGGCTACTGACTTCCATATCAATTTGTCCACCCCTAGGTTAGACAATTAACAGCATGACTGCAGCATTGGTAATGATCAAGCCAAAGCACAATATGTAAACCTTTAGCTAATCTCTTCTGCTCTACAACCCTAAATAACAGTCTATACCAACATTAACTCAGGTTTTTCTAAAATTCACAAAGGAGGATCTAATGGGATGTTATACTAAAAATATCAATTATAAACCTAGTGAAGGCAGTCTTAAAAAAATATGAAAAAGAAAGACTTGGAACCAATATGTTTCATACATTTTGATACATATTTTACGGAGACCTGTTAAGAGCTTGTTCACACCAAATGCAGACCAGATCTGCATGAGTTTCTGCACACACAGTGCAGTGGTTTGTGCTGCGTTTTTGATGCGCTCCGGGCCGCTTTTGGTTTTAAAAAATGGGCTCTCAGTGCGTTCCAGGGCGTTTGCATGCGCTTTTGATGCATTTGCATGCATTCGAGTGTTCCAGAGCAGGTAAAATAGGGCTTGCTGCAGTTTTTTTACATGCTCTGGAATTGAACGCTGCGGTGTGAACTAGAGCCCAAAATACCATTGGAATACGTTGGACGCAGTTTTGATCCGGTCTGTAACTGCTCTGCTCCTGGAGCGCGCTTGGTGTGAACAAGGCCTTAGGGATGACGATACTGAACTTCTAGTAGACTGGCAGTTGTGCTGACCCATTCCTTTCAACACTTTAAGTCACTGACATGGTAATAGCAAGTATAAAACAGGCAACATGATGCTCAAATTTCAGCCAAATGTGAACCTCCCTTCCACAAAAGGCAATTCTTTAAAATCAACTTGTGACGAAGATGTCGGTCTAAAGATCCTTAGCTGATCAGTGACTGCAGCCAATCAGTTGAAATTACGGTGAGTATTCTGAGAGCAGCTTACCCGCTGCTCTCAGAATACAATAGCATGGGGGAGTATTACCCCATTCACGCTGTTGAGCATGGATGGGGAAATTGAGCATTTTTTTCCTCGTTCAGCCTGCAGTGTTGAACATGAAAAAATGACTGATGTATGGCAAGCCTAAGGAATTCAAACTTCTCTAATCTGCATACTTGTTCCAGGTCAGTTACTCAGAAGTACAAAAAACAGGGGGTAAAATTGCAGTCAGGCAACTTGCACAAAAGATATGCAAATACAAGGACCACGGATTGCATAGTTTCAGTTCACTTTGTTTTAATAGCAACACATACACACACACATTTTTTTTTTACATATTTAGTAGTGGCTGTAAAAGCGTTGGAGCTTGTTACATTTGACGCAGGATTTAGATCAGGGGTGCCCATAAGGTCGATCGCGATCTACCAGTTGATCACGTAGCGATCACTGGTAGATCGCGATGTCCTGCAGTCGGCGGCGGGGGACGGAGCCGATATCACAGCAGCACACCGAGGTGAGGGGAGAGCCGCTCGGCTTGCATCTGACAGCCGGCGGATCTCTCTATCCTCACTGCACCTGCTGCTATTACAGCGGCTCCGTCATCAATGATATGTACCAATCCTCTGTGCAGGACAAACACTGGAGCGATCAGCTGATCACTCCAGTGTTTGTAAATAACTGGGGACACATAGCAATATGTGTCCCCAGTTATGAATGAACACGATGTGATTTACATCACTTCCTGTTCATTCATGAGTTTCTCAATGGGGAGACGCACTCTGTACAGAGGCTCCTCCCCATTCAGAAACTGGTGATAGTAAATATTTTGTGAATGAATGGGAAGCCTCTGTGCTTTCCATTCATTTAGAACAGAGGCTGCAGAAAAAGAGATTGAGGACTTTGTGTCCTCAATTTATTTTTCTATTTTAAAAGGGAAATATCAGGGGGCTGTTTAGACCCCTAATATTTCCCCAAAGCCCCCCCAACAATAAAAAAAAAATTAAATAAGATATAATAAAAATGAAATAAAAAATCCTGGAGGCAGGGCGCTGCCTCCAGGGGCCTGTTGGGGTCCCACGCCTGTTGGGGGGGCATTTTTTTTTTGTCTTGGCACGTGTGCAAAAGGAGCTGGCTACTGCTATGCTCCCGCGGTGCCTATGCAGATGCCGGCTGAATGTGTCAGACGCTGCAGACGGAAAGGGACACCTCTCCCCATGTGCAACGTTGGCCACACAAGCACCGCGGGAGGATAGGACGTCTGCGCCTCTAGAACTCACTGGAATGCATGCAGGGGCGTGGGGTTGCACTGCAGCCATGTCCCCCGCCTACAGTTTGATCGCCCGCACATTAGGCACATTGGTGCCTGCATTCCGGTAAAGTGTGATCTGCAAAAATAGTGCTTGCAGCATTTTTGCAGATCGCACTGGAACGGAACACAGGCACTAATGTGCCTGGGTTCCGGGTGCAGGCGATCGCACTGTGGGTGAGGGGCCCGGCTGCAGTGCCATTGACTTGAATGGACCGCCACGCCCCCTCCCGCCCCTGAACGCAGGTGTTTTTTCGTTGGTAGATCTCATTGAGCTCGTCATTTGAAAAATAGATCTCCAGACGAAAAATTGAGGGTGCCCCCAATTTAGCTCTTAAAATGAACTTGCAAAGGGCAGCAACTGCATATTTCTATCATAACAAATTTACTTAAAAGTAGACCTTTCCATGCAAAATGAAATGATCTATGTATAGTTGGTATAGCATGCAACTGTTATGTGAAAAGTTTTTCATAACTCACACTTCATGCTCCTTTTGTATGAGAAATCTATGTACTAAATTACATCAGACCATTCAAGAAGCTGTGTTGGATGGGAAATGGGCCTGCTGTTTCCATCAGAACTAATGACAGAAATATTAGGTAAATGTGAAAAGGAAAGAGTAGAACTACAGAGCTGAAAGTGTATTCTCTGTATTGATATAATTGGTTATAAGCCATGTTTATTTTTTAAAAATGTTGTTCTGTGTTAGTGTCTCATTTTGCAGAGAAAACTTCCACTTATTCCAAGGCACTATACAGGATCTTTTTCTAATATAAATTTCACAAGCTATGTCTGTACTATCCATCAGTAAAGTGTCTGCTGTTTGTATGATGTGATGCACATAGAAAAGAAAGCCACTACTTGTAATTATCATAAAACTTCTGAAATAAATGTATCAAACGAAAGATGAAAGAGAATCTTCTTGTGCTACACAGACAGGGACACTGGGTGCCAACAAATATCCTTTTAGTGTTTGTATGCACCAAAAGCCTTAGGCCTCGTTCAGCAGAAATCTGCCTATTCCACAAGATGGTACAAACACATGCCCGCTTAAGTCCTCTGGCCCTGACATGTTAAACCATTAAACAGGGCTTAAAGGAGAACTATGGGGGTAAGTGTTTTTCCCCATAGTTCTCCTAAGGGTCACGGGAGGACACAAACTAGGGTCCTTCCGTGATCCAAAGCTCAATATACCGCGAGCTACAGCTCACGATATACTGAGACCTCCGCAGCCGGGACAGATCCCGACATTACTGTCGAGATCCACCCCCTCCCCCGTCCGTTCAACCAGTCAGCGCTGGATGATCGGACAGGGGAGGGGGGAATCCCTGCAGGGAGCCGTGAGTGACAGTCATAGCTCTCTGCATGGACAGGATTGAGAAGTGAGCGAGTGACTGTATGTGTTCGCTCACTTCCCGATCTATTGAGCCGACGTGTGACAGTTTCATTGTCACACGTCGGCTCGAACTATGAGGTTGAGTGAAAATCACTCACCTCATAGTTCTTCTTTAATCATAGATCTCTAGATCAGAGTTCTAGC